CTACTTTTTGTTTCCTTCTATATAGGCTAGTTTTCTTTATATTTTGCCTTGTTTGTTGTTAAGCGCAAAGCTACATAATAAACTATCTATGTTGTGCCAACCATGGGTATCGAAACCCTGTTTTTAGCGTTATAAGCCTTCTGACTTACCGTTAAGTCATTTGTTGTTGTTGTTGTTTTTTGGGAGGGGGAGCTTTTTAGTATATTAACCAATTTATAAAGGTCTATAGATGACCGTGTGTATGATAATCCAAGAAAACTGGATCGAATTATCAATTTACAAAGAAAATTAGTACATAAACTTTTTATAATGGTGTATTTTTTTCTTTTTCTAAAATCAAATTGTAATTTTGGTGGAGAAATTACAAGAGTTTTTAATTCCAAAACAGGACTGGAAAAACTATGCTTTCTACTCGAACATTAACCTCCCTAGAAGCTCCGCGGTAAGTTTGTAGGCTTATAACGCTAAAAATCGGGTTTCGATACCCGCAGTGGGCACACTACAGATAGCCCATTGTGTAGTGTTGTGCTCTTTTCCAAACAAACCTACTGTTTTTCTGTTTCTGAAGTTTCTGCTATTGGCCTTTTTTTTTTATTGAAAGTCATCTTTCACTAATCCTCTTTCTGGTGAGTTCATTCCTCATTTGACTTTTTCCATTAGTCTTTTTTATTTATGAGACCTCATTTCTTATTGCTTCACTTTATAAAAAATCACCCTTTTCTGCTTCTCTTTTGGATAGTAACTCTCTACTACTACATAGCGTTTACAGATTATTGACACATATATATTAGCTACCGTTTCCCTGCGAGTGTCAGGATGGTTTTAAAACTATGATAATGCCACAGAGACATCTGTCCTGCATTTAAACCCAAATCACACTGACTAAGCTAGTGAAATGGCTCCAAAACTTCATTAGTAACTGTATGAAGATGTGATCACTCTTTTTAAAGAGAAATATTCATACAGAAAGATTCTTATAAAACGTAGAGAGCCAAACGACGTAACACTTTGATTTTTTATTTGTTTGAAGTTAAGCACAAAGTTACACATTAGGCTATCTGTGCTCTGCCCACCACGGGTATCGAAACTCGGTTTCTAACGTTGTAAATCCGCAGGTATGCCGCTGTGCTACTGAGGGGCATAAACTTTTGAAGAAGGGAACCTTGAATATTCTGCATGGGAAAGAGAAACCTCTGGCTCTGGTAGTAGTGTGTTTAGAACAACAACGGGTTCCGAAACCAACGTCAGGCCATCTAGGACAAACGGGGTCTCATCCGTAAAGTGAAGACTGATTGAAATTTAGAACTCTCCTCCCCCCCAAAAAAGCAATTGCTGGTACCGTTCACAAGATAATAAACAAGGATATGAATCTGACGAAAACTCGCAAGCCAAAAGTTCACAAGGTTCCATTTTCGTCGAAACCAACGTCTGGTTTTACGAGAAAGATTGCAGAAAATATGTTCTGTAATCACAACGGTTTTGTTTAGCCACACACACACCTGTTAGTCTTACAATGCAACTTAAAAGAACGTTTTCTCCTTTAATATCGACTTAAGCGTGCGCTTGAAAGTCGTAAACACAGAACGTTAGCCAATTTATAGAAAGCTGCACAAGAGGGAAGGGAAAAAAATGCACATGGCTGTTCTCTGAAGGAACCTCACCTTATGGAAACGTAAATGAATAGCGATTGTTAAGAAGCAGATACGACATGATCTGAAGACAAAATATGGTCTTCAGTGCTACTATATCAAACTTACCGTCGTTTCTTAAAAGTGTAAATAACCTTCCGTATTCTTTGTGAGAGTTTGTTTGGTTCGGTTATTCTCTATTGGAGTAGGCTCGGTATGGCCAGGTGGTTATGGCATCCGACTCGCAATCTGTGGGTCGCTAGCTCGAATCCTCGTCCCACCGAACATGCTCGCCCTTTCAGCCGTGGGAGCGTTATAATGTAACGTTGGGAAAAGAGTAGCTCAAGAGTTGGCGGTGGGTGGTGATGTCTAGCTGTCTTCCCTCTAGTCTTACACTGCAAAATTAGGGACGGCTAGCGCAGATAGCCCTCGTGTAGCTTTGCACGAAATTCAAAAACAAACAAACAATTTATTGGAGTTTGTTCTCTGCTGCTCCTTTTTTTTATATAGGTTCATCTCTCATTGCATCTGTTTCTGGAAGCACATTTCCCGCTGCTGTTAATTGTCTTTAAGCTAGTTATGTATAAAAAATGTTAGAATCGTGAATAGGGCATTAATTGTGATGTAAATACTTGGGCCAATGAGCTAAAACATTACTTCATCAACTTAAGTAATGAATCTAGAAGTTATTGCAATTTCTTGGCAATGATATGAGTGAATAAAAGGACGGATTTTAACGTGAAATAATTTACCCCAATAGCTTGATGAAAACAGTGTGATATTTGTATAATCAAGTTTCTAACTGTGAACGATAAAGGGAGCTGTCAAAATAAAGAACAGCGCTTCTGGTATAATCTAAATAGGTCTTTAAATAATATAATGCTGCCAAAGATAAAGACTTTAGCATTATGAAGATCAGCTTCCAACAGTAGGACTTGTATTTATGGTTTTTAATTCTGGTGTTCTATATAACGTTTATTTCTAATAGATATTTTATAACATTTAAAAAAATATTTTAAGATATAAATCACTTTGATAACTATTAACATATTAGTTCACATTTTCTGCCCAAGCAAGTTTGTTTGTTTGTTTTGAATTTCGCGCAAAGCTACACGAAAGCTATCTGCGCTAGCCGTCCCTATTTTGGCAGTGTAAGACTAGATGGAAGGCAGCTAGTCATCACCACCCACCGCCAACTCTTGGGCTACTCTTTTACCAACGAATAGTGAGATTGACCGTCACATTATAACGCCCCCACGGCTGAAAGGGCGAGCATGTTTGGTTGGACGGGGATTTGAACCCGCGACCCTCAGATTGCGAGTCGAGTGCCTTCGGTCAACAACACCCCCCCCCCTTGTGGCTCAGTTAAAAATTGGATTTCGATACCCGTGGTGGGACAGCACAGGTAGCCCATTGCATAGCTTTGTGTTTAACTACAAACAAACCAGGCCAACACCAATCTGACTTTTATTGTTTTCAGGTCAGTACTATGATACTTGTTTAATAAATTACCATCAGGCTACCACGATTCTTCACTTAACCTTTACTATCGTCAGCTAACGTTTCAAGCAACGTGGATTAGTACTGTCAGACTTTATTATTTTGTCTACTAGGCAAAGTATTATATTGTCATTGTTACATTATTGTGACTGATGTAATTAATAATAGCAACTTGATTTGTCTTACAAATTGTTCAGCTTTTCTTTATATTTATATTCAGTTTCTGTCGCCTTGTCGTGAATACTTCATATTCCTTTTATCGTTTTTCTGCTATATATGAACGCCATGTTGAATTCAGAATTTATAAGATATGATCCACATGCTGTACTCTCCACAGCATGGTTTCATTCTTCAGTACACTTAAAAGATAATGTCGGTATTTGCTTTTGAAATTTTCATAATATTCATTTAACATAATATTCTCATGAAATCGATATTTTGTAATGGCTGTATTTTTTGTATATAAGTGTATGTATATAGAAATGAATTAAAAACCCTATTATCATTTTTATCAAGACTTCTTGAACCTACGCGTTTTTCTAACATCATGAGTGTATATATATATATATATTTTTTTTTCAGTTATTTTTTTACCTTACACATTTTCTGCCCGTTAACATGCTGTTAATCGTTTTTGTGTTGTACAGTATTTATTGTGCTTTTGGCGGTAATTATTTTTTGAGCTATTGCTTTATTTTTTAATTTAAAACTATTAAGCTCCCATCATGTAATACATTTCTAAAGATATTTAAAAGCATTTTGGATTAGTGATTTTATTATGACAAAAATCCACATTAGCAAAGGCTACACACGCACATATAGATATACTGTTATTACCAGTTGAATACTTCGCTCAGAATTTTCAGAAATTAATCCTTACTGAGTAATTATTCCGTTAAAATTTGGTTTCATAATGTAGATTCATTGTATACCAAACACGTGTTAATGCTTCGATGCATTCTAAAAGTTAAAATTAGTTTCAGTAAATCAATGTATCTGCCGCTGTTCCTTTGTTGTTCGTATAATTTATGCTAGAGATGTCGATTATTTTATAAATGATTTCGGCAGAGTATTCAGGGCAGCAACTGTTTAGTTGAGAGTGACGAATTTACCTGCCATACTTTTGCAAGTTAGTCCTTCAAGACTTTCTCTACAAGTGTCACTCTGAACTAAACAGTTACTGTTGATTTCACTTTTGTTTAGTCAGAGATGTAGTATAAAAAAAGATTTTACATTTTGCATGCCCCCCAGTGTCACAGCGGTATGTCTGCGGACTTACAACGCTAGAAATCGGGCTTCGATACCCGTGGTGGGCAGAGCACAGATAGCCCATTGTGTAGCTTTGTGCATAAATTCAAACAAAAAATCAAACAAACATTTTGCATAGTTTTTTTTCTCAATTATTAATCACCGTGCAACTGAAATTTTACGTGTATATTGTCCTACCTGTTTTATATATTTTTTTTTCAGCTTTGTTAATTGATCCAGAGGACATGTGTTTTTGTTTTGTACTCTCAATTCGCTTTCACGGTTGCCCGCCAACCTGCCACAGAAATGTCGGTGTCAGCAGCCTATTTGCCGACACCCTATGGTGACTGGTGTCCCACGTCGTCAACGGCTGAATGCCACTGGCACCCGACAGAAGCCCTGGGGTTTTGCTGAAGCTCGTATCTCTTTAGCTCACATTGTGCGATTAGCGGTTGGTCCCTCCCAGATATTCAACTTTCTGCAGAGAGCCAGTAATATCCTATCGCAGCACGGGCACTCACTGTGGGGGGTTGGCACCAACGCAGAGTAACTAGGGGCTGTAAAACCTTTCTAGTCCAAAAACTTGGCTCTAATTGAGTCGCCTCTGTTTGCTTTCCATTGCAGGGCTGGAAAACTCAGCAATTGTCTTCACCCCCCAGTGTGATCCAGAGGTGCCCGATGTTGCTATGGAGACCGAAAACAGCATTGAATCAGGTTAGTGCCCACGCCCGAAGATCTCCAGGGAGCTTCCTTCCCTTGCCTCCTGGGGAGAGGAGTTAGAAAGGCTGGATCTCTCTGACAACTCAGGGGACCCAGACCGAGTTCTTCTCAGAGTTCTTCCTGTGTCCACAGGAGGCAACCGATAAGTTAACTTGATGTGCAGGGAGATGCTTGGCTATGTAGCATTTGACGCATGTTTATAAGTGTGTGTGTGTGTGTTTATATATATATATATATATATATATATATATATATG